AGGTCCAGGTGGGCCAGGACCTCGCGGGGCAGCGACTCCGCTTCTGCTTGGATGTCGCGGCGCAGATGCTCCAAGCCACGGCTAAGCCCCACCCCGTACTGGAACGGCCCCACGGCAGACCGCAGCGCAGGCCCGCGGACGGCGATTGGCGCCCGCAGCGCCGTTCGGCGCCCAAACCTGGGGCAGGCAAGCAGTCGCACCTTGCCTCCCGCCTTAGGTTTGGCGAGGAGCCGAAAGCTGCGACGAGCCGCCCGCGCAAACTCCAGGGCTTTTCCCACGAAGAGCTGGGCGAACACCGTCATGGCTGCCATCGGCCCCCAGCGTTCCCATCGTGCCCCCTGGGGCCCCAGCCCGACGTTCCGCTTGCCATGCGCAACGCCCTTCGCGAGGCGTTCGCTCAGCGACGCGTCCGCGGAGGTCAGCGAGGGGCCGCCTGCGGGCGGGGCCCGGGGGGGCGGCGGGCAGCGGGCCGGGCGTCTGCGGCGCCAGGCTGCTCAGGGCTGCGCGGAGTTTCTCCGGCACCTTTGGCTCGGTGGCAATTGGGCTCTCCGCCGCCGCCAGGGCGATTGCCCTGCTTAGGTCGCCGTCCGCAACTCTCCCAGCGATCTGGCGGGCTTGGCGTTCCAGGGAGGGCCGCGCGGTGGCCGCAGCCATCTGCCGCGCTGCGGCCCCTGTCTCAATCCTCGCCTCCCGGAAGAGTTTCCTCCGCTCGCCGGCACCGCAACGCTAGATGCGCTCGGCGCCATCGACCGTCCATGCCCAGCGACGCGCCTGGGATGACAAACGACATCCTGTCGAGGAGGGTGGCTATAGCACCCAGGCCTCCTCGCGGCGCGGGCGCATACCGTCCGTGGTCCGGGCGAGGCCAGGGTAGCCACGCGCAGTTCGCTGACTGAGGCATGGAACCGGGCTGGCCAGGTCGCCGCCGTCGGCACGCAGTGCGAAAGCTCGCTGTTTAAGAACTCCCGGCTCAGCAAGGCCCAGCGCGCTGGCGGCGAGTGCTCCAACAGGTCACCGTCCGGCGCCGCGGGGAATCTCCGCGTCTGCGGCCGTCGGCACGTCGACGTCCTGCGCCAATCCCCCAGCAGCTGGCCGGAAGGCGGCGGCGGTAGATCGCGCCTGGAACATTTGATCGGCGCGGGTGGCCGCCTCGCCCGTCAAAGTCTCGTAGCCCTGCCAGGTGGCACGCGGCGGGACCACGTCGACGCACTCAGCGCGGTAGAACGCGCAGCCCGCGCCGCCCGTGCTCAAGCGCAACTCGCCCATGCCGAAGGTAATGCCGCATCCGCGGGCGGAACAGCGCACCATCCGAGGCCCGTCGCGCTTCTGGCTGAGGCAAACACGCTGCCAGCCGCCGCCAAATCCGCGTCCGCGGCGGGCGGCCGGGCATGGCGGCGGCGGCGGCGGGCCGGCTGCTGCACCTCCCAAGCCATCGCCCGCCGACACGGCGTCTGGCATGGCTGCGTCCGAGGCGCCCGCGCCTCCGTCGGAGAAGTCCTCCATGGCTGGCGCCGGAGAGATGGGAAGGAGAATTCAGCAAGAGGAAAGGATAGACGGAATCGATTGCCCCAACAATCTGGTGTGTTGTGTCGGTGTAGAGGTTCGGTCTCAAGAAACTGCGCCCCTTCGCGGCAGCTTGACTCCTCCTCCTCCTCCTCCTCCTCCTCCTCCTCCTCCTCCTCCTCCTCCTCCTCCTCCTCCTCCTCCTCTGCCTCCCTTTGCCTCCTTTGCATCCTTCTCCTCCTCCTCCTCCTCCTCCTCCTCCTCCTCCTCCTTCTCCTCCTGGTCCTCGTCCTCCTCATCCTGCTCCGCCCGCCTCCGCCTCCGCCTCCGCCTCCCCCTCCACCTCCGCCTCCACCTGCCGCCTCCTGCTCCGCCTCCGCCTCCGCCTCTGCCTCCGCCTCCGCCTCCGCCTCCTGCTCCGCCTCCGCCTCCTCCTCCTCCTCCGCCTCCGCCTCCGCCTCCTCCTCCTCCTCCTCCCCTCCTCCTCCTCCTCCTCCTCCTCCTCCTCCTCCTCCTCCCCTTCTCCTCCTCCTCCCTCTCCTCCTCCTCCTCCTCCCTCCTCCTCCTCCCTCCCTCTCCTCCTCCTCCCTCCTCCTCCTCCTCTCCTCCTCCTCCTCCTCCTCCTCCTCCTCATCCTCATCCAAATCCTCATCATCATCCTTATCCTCATCCTCATCATCATCATCATCATCATCATCATCATCATCATCATCATCATCATCATCATCATCATCATCATCATCATCATCAATATCATCATCATCATCATCATCATCATCATCATCATCATCATCATCATCATCAGCAGCAGCATCAGCATCATCAGCATCATCATCATCATTATCATCAGCATCATAATCATCATCATCATCAACATCATCATCATCAGCATCATCATCATCATCATCATCATCATCATCATCATCATCATCATCATCATCATCATTATCACCACCACCACCATCATCATCATCATCATCATCATCATCATCGTCATCATCGTCATCATCCTCCGCCTCCTCCTCCGATTCCGCCTCCCCGCCTTCCCCTCATCATCATCATCATAATCATCATCAGCAGCATCACCATCCTCAGCATCATCATCAGCAGCATCATCTCTCGTTATCCTCATCGTCATCATCATCGTCAACATCATCATCGTCATCATCGTCATCATCATCAGAATCGTCGTCATCATGCTCATCGTCACATCCTCGGCATCATCAACATCAACATCATCATGGTCATCAGCAGCAGCATGATCATCATCAGCATCAGCATCGTCAGCATCGTCAGCATCGTCAGCATCATCACCAGTATCATCATCATAGTCATCATCATCAGCATCATCATCACCAGCACCACCAGCATCGCCATCATCCTCATCATCATCAGCAGCATCATCATCAATATTATCAGCACCACCATCATCATCAACAACAGCATCATCCAGAATCATCAGCAGCAACAGCATCAGCATCAGCAGCATCAGCATCAGCATCATCAGCATCAGCATCACCATATATACTCATCATCAGCATCAGCAGCATCATCATCATCATCAGCATCGTCATCATCACCATCATCGTCATCAGCATCGACATCATCATCATCATCATCATCATCATCATCGTCATCATCATGATGGTCATCAGTATCGTGCTCATCGTCACCATCCTCGGCATCATCAGCATCAGCATCATCATGATCACCAGCAGCAGCATGATCATCCTCAGCATCAGCATCGCCAGCATCGTCAGCATCATCATCATCAGCATCATCATCATCATCATCATCATCATCATCATCAGCATCAGCATTATCATCATAAGCGTCATCATCATTATCATCATCGCCATCAGCATCATCACCATCAGCAGCAGCAGCAGCATCACCATCATGGTCGCCAGCATCATCTGCAGCAGCACCAACAGCATCATCCGCATCATCATCACAACCGCAGGCACAACCACCACCAGCATCATGATCAACAACAGCATCATAATCATCATCAGCAGCAGCAGCATCATCAGCATTATCATCACCGTCACCATGATCATCATCATCAGCATCATCATCATCATCATCAGCATCATCATCATCATCAGCATCATAATCATCAGCATCAGCATCATCAACATCCTCCTACTCCTTCTCCTCTTCCGCCTGCTCATCCTCCTCCTCATCCTCTTCCTCCTCCCCATCATCATCATCATCAGCAGCAGCATCATTATCATCGTCATCAGCAGCAGCATCAGCATCAGCATCATCATAACCAGCATCACCAGCATCATCCGTATCAGCATAATCACCACCACCACCACCATCATCATCATCATCATCATCATCAGCATCACCACCACAATCAGCATGATCCTCAGCAGCAGCATCACCGTCATGATGATCGCCATCATCATCATCATCATCATCATCATCATCATCATCATCATCATGATCGTCATCATCGTCATTATCAGCGACAGCATCATGATCAGCATCATCATCACCACCACCACCATCATGATCATCATCATCATCATCGACATCATCATCATCATCATCATCATCATCATCATCATCATCATCATCATCATCATCATCATCATCATCATCCTCAGCATCATCATCATCATCATCATCCTCATCATCCTCATCCTCATCCCCATCCTCATCCTCATCCTCATCATCATCATACTCATCCTCATCATCATCACCACCACCATCATCACCACCACCACCATCATCATCATCATCAGTAGCATCATCATGATCATCATCATCAGCAGCATAATCATCCTCATCATCGTCCTCATCATCAGCATCACCAGCATCATCTGCATCAGCATCAAGATCACCACCACCACCACCATCACCATCGCCACCACTACCATCAGCACAGTCATCAGCAGCTGCATTACCATCATCATCAGCATCATCGTCTTCTTCATCATCATCGTCATTTTCATCACCATCATCATCAGCATCAGCATCATCATCGGCATCACCATCCTTAGCATCATCTCCCTCCCTTTGGTGTCCGTTCCATGGGAGCCTGCGTGGCCCCCGGCACTGTCCAATTTGGACCTGATTTGGACCAGATTTGGAACACATTTGGACCGGATTTGGACCAGACTTGGACTGGATTCGTGGGGGCTAGGAGAACGATGAGGGGGAGGGGGAACAGGAGGGGAGAGGAGGAGCAGGAGGATGGGCCAAATGTGGCCCCCACGCTGTCCACATGCAGGAAAAGCTGATTCCAATGTTGCCACCCGAGGCTCCCATGAACAGACATCGAACCTCCCCTTCCTTCTCCCCCTGGGGGAGCAACGACATATGTACATGTACGCCCTCCGCGGTCTTGCCTGCACGAATGTCCGCGTTGACACGCACTCCAGGGGAAACTAACCACGTACGTGTACATATGTTGCTGGCCTCTGACCCCCTCACCCATCCCACCCCTCAAGAGCAGGAGAGGCAGGCGAAGAAGCAGCGCCCGCCTCGATGCCGAGCCTCCCCGGCTCCAGGGTCACCGTCCGCATCTTCCCCGGGGAGCGGCGGCGGCCGGCCACGGGAGGGGACGGAAGGGGAGGAGACGCTGGAGGGAGGGGGGGGGGAGGGGAGATGGGGAGAGGAGGAGGAGAGGGAGGAGGGGGGGGGGGGGGGGCAGGGAGGGAGTGAGGGGGGGGAAGAGGATAGAGAGGGGGAGGAGAAGGAGAAGAGGAGGGAGGACGAACGAGGGAAGAATAGAGAGAGAGAGAGAAGAGAGAAAGAGAGAGAGAGAGAGAGAAGAGAGAGAGAGAGAGAAAGAGAGAGAGAGAGAGAGAAATGAAGAATCAACAAGACTTCAGACAGACAGACAGACAGACAGACAGACGGACAGAAAGACAGACAAACTGACAGACAGACAGGAAGCAAACAGACAGACAAACAGGAAGCAGACAGACAGACGGATAGGCACACACACTTTTTGGCGGTCGCGGCCTCGTGCGCAGCGACGAGGCGGAGAAAGTCACCGAACGGGCGGACGCAAGCGCGGCGGGCCTCTCAGAACGTCAAGGATCCATGTTAGATCAACCGTGCCATGCGCATACCCAGCGGGCAGCGAGGGTGCAGTGGGTGGCAGAGCGAAGGCGCGGGTTCGTACACACAGCGCACAAGTTCGGACGCTGGTTCGTCCACACGCTCGCTGCCTCGTCAGCGGGCCGCGTAGCACTCTCGACCAGTGCGAAGGCAAAAAAACTCGCGGGGGCCAGCCAGCGGCACGCCAGGCGCTGCCCTTCGGTGACGACGCGAGGTGGCGGAGCCAGCAGGACGCGTGCTGCGTGGCTGGCGGGCCGAACGGCCGAGCGCAAGCAAAAATGGCGGCGGCGCCAGCCTTCCACATGCGCGCACAAGCAAGAGCACCCGACTGCGGGCAGCCATGGCCAGGGACCGCCTCCCCGGCGCAGGAGGCGCGCGCGGCGTCCTGGGGGCCAGGCCGCGAGCCCGCGGCGGAAGCAGCGAAGTTTGGGGTGAAACGCCCAGGTGGGCCGGGCAGCCGCTCAAGTGGGCGAGGATCGATTGGCATCAGGGGTCAAAGCGGTCCAGCTGGTCACGCTGGACTCGGGGTCACGCGCGCGTCTGCGGCCTGAGGGTGACCACGCACTCGGCGTTGAGAATGTGTAGCACGCTCGGCACGGCCGTGGGCGGCCAGCACCCGCCGCGCCCGCTGAGTCTGGGCCCCGTGGGGTCTGGTCAGGAGCTTCTGGCAATCAGCGCGTTGTTGGACTGCAGTCTTCCTGAGACGACGAAGTTGGCCATCGACGTCGTCGACGCAGCGCCGCCGCGCTTTGGTCGGCGCCGCCTCGGGTCGGCTAAGACCGTCCGACCCTGCTGCGTGCGATTGTGCGCAGGCGACCGTCGGCGGGACCACGCTCGCCCGCGCGCGAGCGACTGTTGACGACGGGCCAGGCGGACCCGTCCCAGCGGCCAGCGGCGGATGCGCCGGTCGAGTTGGTCGACTTGCCTCTTGGCATGCAATGACCCCGTCGAACGTTGCGCGAGCCGCGTTCGTTGAGCGGGTAGGCAGGGTGGCGCTCACTCGCCGGCGAGCGGCGGTGCTCGGCGCGGGGGCGCTGGACCCCGCTAAGCCGCCTGCCTCTGATCGGCACACGGTGAACCGTCCGCCGTCGCGCCCGCGCCGCCCGTTGGGCGGGCGGCGCCGCGCGGTCACCAGCAGCGCGCTGCAGCGGCGCAAGACCCCTGGGCAGCTTCCTCGGCGACGCCCCTCCTTTCGCGAGCACGGCGCTGACAACCTACGAGTCCTCGAGGCGAATGAAGCGCTGCGATTGCGCTGCGGTCGCCCTGAGCCTCCACTCCAGCGCGTAGCAGGCCGCCCGCATCACCAAGACGCCGATTTGACGCTGCTTCCCCGCGCCAGAAGCCATTCCGAGGACCTCGCGCCACCTCCGAAGGTCCAAAAGTGCGGGTCGACACTGGCCCTCAGCCATGCCTCAGCGCTGCACGGGGCTTCTGGTCAATGCGGATGCCAGCACCGCCCTCCTTGAATACGAAGGGCGCCCCCACGCAAGCAGCTTGCACTTCGGGTCACTGCGCACCTCATCCAAGGACAACCGGGTTGGATCACCTCGAGACAGTGTCCTGTTTAGGGCAGCGTCGTCGGGAAGGGGCTCGCCAGCCACTCGCCCTCCTGCAGCCAGCTCTGCGACAAATGGGCGGGAAGCATGCGCAAACGGAATTACCGAAGTAGAAGCAGCGCGTGGCCCCGGCTTCCAGCCCCAGGCCCTCCGCGGCATCGGAGGTGCATCCCACTTTTAACCCAAGCACTGTTCCCCGAACGGTGCTCGCACTTAGGGGTTCTTCCTTCTGGAAGAAGGAACTGGGCGTGGGGGCCTGTCTGGCGGCTCTGCTGTCGCCGTCGCTGCCCTGTCACCGCCCCGTCGCCGCCTCGTCGCCGCCCATCGTCTGGGCCTGGGGCTCGAACCGGTTGCTATGTTGTCGCCGTCGCCGCCCCGTCACCGCCTCGTCGCCACCCGTCGTCTGGACCTAGGGGTCGGTCTGGCGGATATCGCCTCCTGCAGCCAGATCTGCGACAGATGGGCGGGAAGCATGCGAAAACGGAATTGCCGAAGCAGAAGCAGCGCGTGGCCCCGGCTTCCAGCCCCAGGCCTTCCGCGGCATCGGAGGTGCATCACACTTGAAACCCAAGCACTGTTCCCCGAACGGTGCTCGCACTTAGGGGTTCTTCCTTCTGGAAGAAGGAACTAGGCGTGGGGGTCTGTCTGGCGGCTCTGTCGTCGCCATCGCTGCCCTGTCACCGCCCCGTCGCCGCCTGGTCGCCGCCCATCGTCTGGGCCTGGGGCTCGGTCTGGATGCTATGCTGTCGCCGTCGCCGCCCCGTCACCGCCTCGTCGCCGCCCGTCGTCTGGACCTAGGGGTCGGTCTGGCGGATATGTTGTCGCCGTCGACGCCCCGTCGCAGCCTCATCGCCGCCACATTGATTGCACCACACGGATTTCTTCACGTAGATTGTACCACATGGATTGCGCACCACATAGATCACCTAGAATGCACCACGTTATTTGCACCACATTGATTGCACTACCGAGATCGCACCACCTAAATTGCACGACATAGGTTGCACAAACTGGATTGCACCTCATATAATGCACCACATAGATTTCACCATATAGAGTGCACAACATAGATTGCGCAACATCGATTCCACCACATAGTTTGCACCACATAGACTGCACAGCATACAATGCACAACCTAGATTGCACCACATAGGTTGCTTCACGCGCTTTGCGCCACATATATTGCTACACGTGTGCTGGACAACATAGTTTGCACAACATACATTGCACCACACATTGCACCACATATATTGTCCCGCATAGACTGCACTACATGCTTTGCTAGAGCCACACAATGTTTGGGGTCAACGCTGGCTAATATGTAGTACATGTGTGTAGTATGCGCGCACACACACACCTCACACACCTCTCTCTCTCTCTCTCTCTCTTTCTATCGCTGTCTCCGCAAGCGGGTATCGATGAGCGGCGTCGGCACCTGACAGCGGGGCGGAAGTCGCTTGCATATTCCCGAATTCGCAGTTGCCGACATGGTAGCAGCGCATATACACTCTCCAGCTCTCCAGCGCACCAGCCGAGGCAAACGGTACCCCTTCCTGCTCGATGAGCCAAGAGCTGGAAAGGCCTGACACACACGAGTGTCAGGAAGGGCCCAGGCCGACCATGCCACATCCAGGCCGACCATGCCAAGAGGTCCAGAAGGCACTTAGGCCCCTGCGGCAGACCAGCACGGAGGAGCACAGAAAGACACGCCTGACCTTGGGCGTCGATCCAGAGATCAGCCTCAGCGGTGCCCATACAGCTAACGAGCTCGACGACGCCGGGGAAGAGCATGCCGATGGTGTTTTTCAAGATGACGAACGCCCCACGGGTGTGAATGAACAACCTCCACTTCTCCCCAGCAAGGCCTATTCTGTCGGCATTCGTGGGGTGAGATCCTGACGCGGGCCCGCGAGGCCCCGCGAGGCCGCGCGCGCTGGCTGCACGGGCGCGCTGGCCCGGAGACAGAGCAGGCCAACTCAAATCTGCCCACTGGCTCGATCCCTACCGCCGCTGCCTCAAGCACTCGATCAGGTCGCGGAGACCGAGGCCCCCCAGATCGACGGCCCGGATGGGCTCCGTCCCGGCGGGGAGGATGAGCTCAAGCCACGTCGCCCCGCTGCACGACCTGTTCACGCGGAAGGAGTGGCATGCCTTAAATCGCTGCATGAGGATCTCCATCGCGGCGTAGTTCTGACCTGCGATCAGCGCGCCGAGGGCTTCCGAGACTGTCCATATCTGCCGCAGCACGTCGACACCGATGCTGCGCTGGGGCTGCTGCGGCAAGATAACGGCAATCTTAAACTGCGCGCACCTGGCGACCGCCCTCGCGCGCCGCGAGGAAGCTGCACATCGGTTCAGGCCCGGCCTCGGTGAATGCAAGGCGACCGACCTGACGCACATGATCTTGCCTTTGATGTCGCTGGGCACCGCGCCCTATCCCGAGGCTGCAGGGCCAGCGCCAGCGCCGCCCCCAGCTCCGCGGCCATCCTGAGCATCGGTAAGCTGCGTGAGGAGGTCCAAGGCCGAGCCTCCCGCAGCCGCGGGCTTCAAGACTGCCCCTCCTGGCGCGCGGGGCGCCTTCCCGTGCTTCGCCGCTCGTTCGGCAATCGCGTCACTCGGCTTCCGACCCTTGCCGCTGTCGAGGGTTGGACAGTCGGCAGTGTCCGCTTTTCCGAGACCGGGCTTGGCGAGGCGATCTCCAGAGCGGCGGCGGCGGCAGCCTGGCGCTTGGCCTCGCGCAGCTTGGCAAGCCTTTCACTCGGCGCTGGTGCATCCGCTACGTTGCCGCGACTTCCAGCCGAAGCGCCGAGCCACCGCCAGCGGCGGGAGGCGCTGCGGGACGCACAGCGGCTGCAATCGGCTGGGCGGGACGCCGCAGTGGGCGAGGCGCGGCACCCCACGGAACGTTCCCGAGGGGCCAGGCGCACACTACTCCTGGCAGGTCTCGAAGTCCGAGCACACATGGCACAGCATATGTTTGTTGAGACGCCACCGTGCTTGCCGGGCTGGCTCACACGCCAGTCCCAGCACGAATCACGACTGAACAGGTGGACCTCGGCCTGGAGCGACTCAGCAAGTCGCCACGCGCACGTGCGCTGCAACGAATCGTCGTCGCCACGCGCCCGAGAGGTACGGTGCTGCGCGCCCGGCACCTCCGAGGCGGAAGTCCACCTCCGTCAGCTCGGCGGCCTCCTCGGGCGAGCCCTCGCTGACACCACCTGCGCCTGGGGCATCGAGGTCTGGGACTGCGGCCGAATCGGACGTCGCCACGCGCAGCACCTCGCGGTCAAGCGGACGCCTCGAGGTTTTCCTAGTCATCATCATCATCATCATCATCATCATCATCATCATCATCATCATCATCATCATCATCATCATCATCATCATCAGCATCAGCATCATCATCATCACCGCCACCACCACCACCACCATCATCATCATCATCATCAGCATCATCATCATCATCATCATCACCACCACCACCATCATCATCATCATCATCAGCAGCAGCATCAACAGCAGCAGCAGCAACATCATCATCAGCATCACCAGCAACATCCGTATCAGCATCATCACCACCACCACCATCATCACCGTCACCACCACCACAACCATCAGCATCATCATCAGCAGCAGTATCACCACCATCATCATGGCCATCAGCATCATCATCACCATCATCATCATGATCAGCATCCTTATCATCAACAGCAGCATCATCAGCATCATCAGCATCATCATAATCATCGTCATCGTCATCGTCGTCATTATCACCATCACCATCAGCATCATCATCAGCATCATCATCATCAACACCAACATCAGCAGCAGAATCATAAGCATCATAAGCATCATCATCAACGGCAGCGTAACCATCATCAACACTCATCATGAGCATCAAAATCATCATCATCCTCATCATCAGCAGCAGCATCACGATCATCATCATCATCAGCAGCATCATCATCATCGACGTCGTCGTCATCCTCATCATCATCGTCATTCTCGTCGTCGTCATCAGCATCATCATCAGCATCACCATCATCATCGTCTTTTCATCATCCTTATCATCATCGTCATCGGTGCCGCTGTCGTGGTCGTCATCGTCATCATCATCATGATCACAATCACCATCGCCAAATGTCAGAATCCTCATCCTCATTATCCTCTGCCTCCTTCTCATCATCCGCATCATAAGCATCATCATCATCGCCACCAACACCACCACCATCACCACTAACACCACCCCCATGACCACCACCACCACCACCATCCTCATCATCAGCAGCAGCATCATTATCACCACCACCACCATCATCAGAAGCAGCATCACCATGATCACTACCACCAGCATCAGCATTATCACCGTCAGCATCAGCAGCATCAGCATCATCAGAAGCATCACCATCATCGTAACCATCAGCATCATCATCATCCGCGTCCTCATCGTCAGCATCATCAGCAGCATCGTCGCCATCATCGTCATCATCATCATCACCATCAGCATCATCATCACCACCATCGCCATCGTCATCGTTATCAAACCTCTACCCCTCCCCGCCTCCTCCTCCTCCACCTCCTCCTCATCATCATCATCATCGTCATCCTCATCCTCCTCCTCCGCCGCCTCATCCACCACCTCCACCACCTCATCCGACACCACCAGGCGTGTTGGTAAGGGCGGGCCAGGCATGTTGCTCGAGGTTCCCTCAGCGCCTACGCCCCTGAAGGTTGAGACGTCTAACAAATACACGGACGGAGATGGAGGGCAGTGCCTTTTCAAAATTGGGGATATCGCCTTGGCGCCGCACACACTCGCCAAAATAACTACTCTGATGGAGGGCGGCGCTATATCAACCTGAGGCGCTCGCCGTAGCGCCGCGCGCACACTCACCATACAAAACGCAACAAGAAGAATGCTGCGCTAATGGAGGGATGCACCTTTTCAAAATCGAGGCTCTCGCACACTCGCCTTACAGAATTCAACCCCTACGCGGATGGAGAGGCTATACCTTTTCAAAATGTGGCTCTATTATTGGCGCCGCGCACTCGTCCGTATAATGCCCAACAGCTGTGCGGATGGAGGGCGGGCGGGGCGCTCGCGTGGTCGCCGCGCACACTTGCCAAAACAACATAACACTCGTGGAGAGCGGCACCGTTTCTCAAAATGCTGCGTCCGCTCGAGGCCTCCTCAAACGATGCACGGATGGATGGCGGATTCTTGCTCAGCACGGGGCTCTCGCTGGGCACTCTCCCTTCTACTCTGTGGGCATGCCCCTCTGCATGTCTGAAGGCTAGGAGGATGGAGCATGGACCCCATAGACGCTGGCCTCGCCTCAATGGCAGGTCCATGCGGCGCTCGTCGTTCAAGGAGGGCGCTCCCCATCGTCGTGGGTAACAATTGTGGGGACCAATCAGGAGGGGACTGAGAACGGGAGGGTGCATGGCAGCATCGTTGAATAACGCATCCTGAGTTTACTCTGGTCCTCTGCTGCTCGTCCTCATGCTCCTCCTCTCTATCCTCCTCCAAGTTCTTCCACTCCAACTCCCTCCTCAGCCTTTCTCTCCCCATGTCCATTCTCAGATTCCTCCTCATTGCTCGCTTCCTCGTCTTGCTCCTCTCCTCTTCTTCATCGTCAAAATGATCACCATCAGCATCATCATCATCACCACCACCATCACCGTCGTCATCATCATCACCGTCGGCATCATCATCAGCATCAGCATCAGCATCAGCACCAGCATCAGTATCAGCATCATCAGCAGCCTCATCATCCTCGTCATAGTCATCGTCAGCATCCACATGAGTATCATCACCAGCATCAGCAACAGCATCATCACGATAACCAGCATCATCATCATCGTAGTCGTCATCACCGGTGTCGTGTTCCTCATGGTCACCATCCACCACAGCACCGTCATCATCATCATCATCATCATCATCATCATCATCATCATCATCATCATCATCACCAGCATCATCATCATCATCATCATCATCACCATCGCCATCATCATCAGCCGTATCATCAGCATTATCATAATCATCAGCAGCAGCAGCATCAACAACAACATATACATCACCATCAGCATCATCAGCATCAGCATACTCATCATAATCATCATCAGCATCCGCATCACCGTCGTCGTCATCCTCCGCATGGTCAGCATCGTGAACATGAGCATCGACAACATCCTCATCCTCAATATCTGCATTATCATTATCAGCATCTGCATCGTCATCATCATCGCCGTCATCAACATGATCAGCATCATCAGCATCATGACCAGCATCATCATCATCGTCGCAGGCATCGCCATCGTAATCATCCGCCCGATCGTCATCAACACCACCATCAGCATCATCATCAGCAGTAGCATCATCGTCGCCGTGATAATCATCAGCAGCAGCAACAGCAGCATACATATCATCATCAGCAGCAGCACCACCACCACCACCAGAGCATCGTAATCGTCATCAGTATCAGCATCAGCATCAGCATCATCATCACTATCGACAGCATCATCACCAGCATCAGCATCAGCACCAGCATCAGCATCCTCATCATCAGCAGCATCATCATCATAATCGTCGTCATTGTCGTCGTCATGAGTCTCATCGTTTTCATCATCATCAGCAGCAGCATCATTATCATCAGCAGCAGCAGCAGCATCATCATCATTGCTGATATCATCATCATCGTCATCAGCATCATCATCATCATCATCATCAGCAGCAGCAGCAGCAGCAGCATCATCACCACCAGCAGCAGCAGCATCGTCGTCGTCGTCAGCAGCAGCGGCATCATCATCATCCTCTCCCTTCCCATCCTCCTCCTCCTCCTCCTCCTCCTCCTTCCCCTCCTCCTTATCCTCCTCCTCCTCCTCCTCCTGAGCCTCCTCCTCCTGCTGCTGCTGCTCCTCCTCCTCCCCCTCCTCCTCCGCATCCGCCTCCATCCCCCTCCTCCTCCTCCTCCTCCTCCTCCTCCTCCTCCTCCTCCTCCTCCTCCTCCTCCTCCTCCTCCTCCTCCTCCTCCTCCTCCTCCTCCTCCCCCTTTCTGCCCCCGCCTCTCAGTGCTAGCGCGCGCCCAACGCGCAGACGCCTCAGTAGACACCAGGGAGGCGAGGGCGTTGATGCCTTCCTCGGCTCTGCGCTCAGTCTGCCTCTCGGAGGGTGGCGGGTAAGAAACGAGTTTCGAGGATCGCGGTGCTCGTACGTGTTTCGCCCTTCTACGCACTCCAGGAGGACTCTCGGCGCCACGGCTGGATTTCCCTGGAGACTCTGTATGGAGCGCACCCCAGGAAAGTTACAAGGGTCGATGTTTGATGCACGCATTAGAGTGACAAAGGTGGTGGTGAATTGCTGGCCAGAACTGATAGATTCATAGGAGGACAACAACGAGGAGGAAGATCGACAAACATCGTGCCTGACGATGTTCCAAAGTGTCAGCATTTCAGAACCAGATTCGGGCCAGAGAACCGTCAGACATTGATCTGGGATCATAAACTGTTCAGGATGAGGGTCCAAAGACTGGTCTGGGGTAACTTTGAGTGGTGCCCATGAGCAGGAGGACGAAGAACAGAAGGGGCAGGGACGGGGAGAAAGTAAGGGAGGCCGAGAAGGCGGAGGAGGCGGAGTACTGACAGCATCAGACACAGACAGCCTACTTCTCTTTCTCGTCTTGCTCCTCTTCCTCCTCCTCCTCCTCCTCCTCCTCCTCCTCCTCCTCCTCCTCCTCCTCCTCCTCCTCGCACAGCTGAGAGCTGCGGGGAGTCTCAGGGCGGCGACCAGACTCACGGCCTCTGGCACGCCCATGGCCTCACCAGCGGCCCACGCATCTTGCTGTCTTACGCCGCGTGCTGGCCTCCGTGCGGCTCATGACGACATCGGTGGCCGCGCCAGCAGAACGGCGGGCGCCGCCCGCAGCTCCAAGCAATCGCGCCGCAGACTCCGGCCGGGCGTTCCGCAGCAGGCCGAGCGACTCGAGGCACTCAGCAACGCCAAGCGCATCGCTCACCTCCGCGAATATCGGCACGGCCTGCGCAAGGTGCTGCTCGGCTCGCCGCGTCGCCCTCGGCCGCGAGCTGGATACACTGCACCGCCATCGAGCGATGAGACCCGGCAATACCCCTAGTGAGCTTCAGCTCGACCCAGGTCTCGAGAGACCGCTCATACAGCTCCAGAGCGCGGGCTGGGCGCTCGAGATCCCCCTCTGGTCGCCGGAGGCCTCCCGCGCTCACAGGGCCTCGCTATGATGTGCGCGCCAGCTCGTGGCGGCCGAGCTGGAACGCCGCGACGCCCGAGTTGCTCACCGCGTCGGCAGCGCACAGGACCGGCTGCGGCCAGATCCGCAGCACGGCCCCCGCCGAGAGCGCTGCCGCCGCGGCCGCCGCGGCACGCGCTGCCGCGGCGAGCAGCCGCAGCGAGCGCTCGTACGAGCCGCCCTCGCGGGCCACACGGTCGAGGCCCTCGAGCGCCCACGAGCGCAGGACGTGCGCGTCAGCCTCGAGCTCCCCCGCGGCCGCGCGGCTCGCCGCCGCCAGGTGTGCGTCTGCCAGCTCCAGGGCGGCGGCGTGCAGGGCCGCGGCGCCGGCGTACTCCGTGCAGTCGTAGGCGTTCGCGCCAGCGCCGTCGTGCGCGCCCGCCCGCAACAGCCCCTCCGACATCGCCAGGTAGAGTTCGATGACCAGTGCCGCCTCGGGAAAGGGCTCAAGGTTCAGCGGCAGCGCGATGTCGCGATCCTCGCCAGCGCCGAGCTCGGGCTCGGTGCCGCCTGGCCGACGGCCCCGCCCGTCCCAGCCCGCTCGCCGCAGCCAGTCGAGCGCCTCGCAGAGCAGGCCCGCCATCCAGAACGCCGGCCCCAGCACGCACAGGAGCTCGACTGCCGTCTAGCCGTCCTCCTCGCAGAGCGCAGCGCGGACATCGGCGATGCCGCCGCGCAGCTCACTCAGCGCGGCGCCATCGCTCTCCGTCCACAGCTGCGCGCAGAGCCGCAGCGGGCGCTTCCGCCTGGTTGGCGGCAGCTCGGCCAAGCGCACCCTGCCCGGTGGCGATTCAGGCCTGGTAGACGAGCGGTGGCAGCTTCGCTCCGTGTCGAGCCTTACTGCGTCTGACGCCGACGCCGACGACGCCGCCGCCCTCAAAGTCGATACCCTGGACCTGTCTTGGAGCGCGCTCTGGCTAGGATCTCGAGGCGAATCTGGCCGTTGCCGACGAGGGACCCCCGAAGACCCACAAGGCGCGAAAAACGTCAGGAGCGACAACAGCACGTGTAATTCCACCACGACGACGACGACGACGACGACGACGACGACGACGACGACGACGACGACGAACGACGACAACGAAGGACGATGACGACGATGACGACGACGACGACAACGACGACGATGACGACGACGACGATGACGACGACGACGACGACGACGACGACGACGACGACGACGACGACGGCGACAGCGACGGCGACGGCGATGGCGACGGCGACGGCGACGGCGACGGCGACGGCGACGGCGACGGCGACGAAGGCGACGACGTCACTCGCGGGCGCCCGCCCGGCACGCCTCAGGCCGCGGCCGACCCGGCCACCCGCGCGCGGCGCCGTGGCGCCGCCTCTGGCTTCCCCCACAGGCGCTGAGGGACCGCCGACGGCGGCGTAACGACGGCCACGACGATGACGATGACGACGACGACGACAGCGACGACGACGACGATCGAAGATCGAAGATCGATGGCGCCGACGACGACGACGACGACAACGATGACGACGAACGACGACGAACGACGACAACGAACGACGATGACGAACGACGACGACGACGACGACGACGACGACGACGACAATTGACGACGGCGACGATGGCAGCGACGACGACGACGACGACGACGACGACAACGGCGATGACGGTGACAACGACTGCGGCGGCAAGGGGGGGATGGAGGTTCTGCTCAGATTTGGAATTCTTTAGGCCTCAGGAGGTCAAGATGCCTCCAGAGGCGATTTGATGATCTCGAGAGACCTCTGGGACGTCTGGAGATCTCGAAAGCGGCCACAATCGAAACTCGAGGGTCAAAATTTGGCCGGTTGGGCGCATTTGGGGGATGATTCGTTGCCATTGCAGGCTTCCCCTTGAAATTCCGGTCAGAACGCTTAGCTGCAGGAGGTCTGGGGGCCGACTTGGACGACGAGGACCGAAACGCCCAGCGAATCAAAATCATCGTGCTGCTGGCTTTTCGCTGCTTTGGGCGTCAGGCGGCCGCTCCTGGGCCACGGGGCCGTCCAGAGGCGGCCCTGGCTTTCTCGAGGCCCCTGGCACCAGGAGGAGAAGGAGGAGCAGCAGCAGCGGGAGGGGGGCCGAGCGCGAGGGGGAGGAGGACGACGACTCCCCGCCCCACCGTTGAGCGGCGTCCTGGCGAAGGCGCCTATCCTCCCGGCTGCCGCGCACGCCATGGCGGCCGCCGCCGCGCCTCCCCCCGCCCTTCGTCATGGTCGCTGTCGATCCTGTCGCCGCCGTCGCCAACCTCGCGTCCCACACATCCAACGTCGGGTTTTTTGTCGCAGCATGGCTCCCCTGAGGTCTGGACCCCTTCCCAGGGGCGCTTCGCATCCCGAGTCGCTTCTTGCCGGCCCCAGGGCCGGTGCCCGGTGAGGACTTCCAGAGGCCGAAACGTGCCAAAGCCTGCCGTCGTGATTTCCGTCACGATGCGAGGATGTCAGGGAAGAGGAGGGAGGAGGTGGAGGTGGAGGAGGAGCTGGAGGAGCTGGATAGACAAAGAAAAACTGCATAAGCACAAACTGTCGGAGGTCCGCGTGGACGTCTTCGATCGACACTGGACCCCCCCGGCGGCGCCTCTGACGCCGCCCCTGACGCCGCCCCCCCGGCGCGCTTCGCGCGCAAAGGAAGAGGTCTCAGGGCCGATCCAAGACAACAGCGCGGCCCTCCGAAAGGTTATGATTATGCAGATTGTTTTCCTTCTTCGAGAGGAGGAGGAGGAGGAGGAGGAGGAGGAGGAGGAGGAGGGATGCATTTTATAGTCGCAGCGCTGGCGGTCGCACGGCGCGGGTGAGGCCCAAGCTGGGCCGCTACAAGACAAATTGTACACAAGCGGGCGGGGGGCAGAAGAGGGCGGCCGCGGAGGAGGGAAAAGAAGAGGCGGCGCACTCGGGCCATGAAAGTATTCGTGGGCTGTGTTGCAGATGCACCGGTCCTGGGCCCAGGATCGGCCTGGTCAGGATCGGTGTAGGTGTATAGTTGACGCCCTCCGACAGGAGGGGTGGGTGGGGGGGATACAAGAGGGGGAGGGCGTTCCCCTCACTCGCCGAATCGGTGTGCGGCGCAAGCCCACGAGTCACTAAGATGGCCTTCGGGGGCGCCTGCCGCATGCTCGCTCGTGGCATGGCATGTGTCGGCAGAGCCCCAGGAGTTCGTTGACTCGCCAGGCGGCGGCCAGGCAGCTCGCGCAGCAGCGCTGGCCCTCAGGAAGGGAAGGGCAAGGGCATCTGACCCCCGTGGCCCCCAAGTGGAAGGGGAAGGCCAGCGACCCAAAGGGGAAGGTATCCGAAGGCATCCGACGGCCCTTGAAGGCCATCCGAAACCCGCTTACCTGCCGCATGCTCGCTCGTGACACGGCATGTCCGACTCCCATGGGAGGGCGCCGACTATACACCAACACCGATTCTAGCCAGGCCCATCCTCGGCCCAGGATCGGTGCACACGCCCTCCAGGCTCGGCCAGGAGGGCACACACACCGATTGTGGGCCCAGGATCGGCCTGGCCCAGGGCGGTGTCTGCGAATAGTTTTCGCCGCCCGAGTGGCATGGCGTGTCCAGCTTCAGCCATAGCTGCAGCCTCAGCCATAGCCATCAGCCCTGGCCTCAGCCCCAGCCCTGGCCCATTCTTCCAGCCCTAGCAAAAGCCCTATGCTTCGCCTCAGCCTCAGCTCGGCGGCGACGATAGGGGCGAATCGCCCAGGGGCGGGCATTACACGTATTCGCCCGGGAGCCTTGTCGAAGACATAGATCATCAGCGCACCTGAATACATGTATTATCAGCTCTGGCCGCAGCCTTGGCCCCGGCACTCAGTCGTGGTCTCGGCCCTGTCATCAGCCCCAGCGTCTGGAGGCCCTCCCAAGGCCTCCCGAGAGCAAAGGCCGTCGCGTGCTCGCTCGGCTACACGCACGAGCGACCATAGGCACGAAAGCCCTTCTGCGCGCAGCTTGCGGATCGTTGCGTTGGATGCGACACTAACGGCCCTTCGTGCTTGGGGGTGGTGACCCCCCCAGCACCGGGGCAGCCCCTGAAGCCGCGCACCCGAGGCCACTCCGGCGAAGTGTCACCCTTGCGTGCAGCCGACTCGCTCGTGGCATTGGCTAAAAAGATAATGATACCAACGTGAACTTTCGAAGGTCCGTGCGGGCCTCCGGCCTCCAAAATGATGCCGATCCGACCGGCATGCCCTCGGACTTCGAGGGCGACGAGCCGTGTCAGGCTGCAGACAAGCTCTGCTGGCAGTGAAGTGGACAAGACACGGACCCGGTCCCACGCACGCCGGAGAGCGAGCCGTCGCGAGGAGGGGAGGGAAGCCGAAGTACGAGAACGGCGCGCATGCACCATACTGACTACCTACCAGACCACCCCAACCCAACCCGAAGACCCGAATTTCGGGTTGGGGGGGGGTAAGGGTTCCACACGTGTTTTTTCGATGTTTCCCGACACCCCCCCCACTGGAAATCGAGGGTAAATCTGAGCCTTCGGGTTGGGTTGGGGTGGTTTGGTGGGTGGTGACATACCATGTTGGACTCTTCAGGCCTCGCTCCAACGTGGGGCGGTTCGGCACAGGTTTCCACCCCCGAGAGAGCCGAAAAACTGTGCTCCGTGCCATGCCTGGGCCGAAGATCGGCGACGCCTTGGGTGACGCCGACGCGGCGTCAGTGCATACAGATTGAAGGGGCCCCAGGACACACAAATAAATACACACAAATAACAATAGTCCCCATATTTTCCCATATTTTCGGGGTTTCTGTCTTCCCCCCCACTTCCCATATTTTCCCATATTTTCCTGGGAATCGAGGATTAATTGTGTCTGTGTGTTTTTTCCCTCCTGAATACAGATCGCCCGTGGGATGCGGAGCACGTGCAGCAGCACCGGGAGAGATCGCCTCGGCGAAACCTCGCTCGGCGACGGCGCGCCGATGGCGGCGCTGGAAGACGGGGGCGGAGAGCAAGCGACATGTGTTCAGGGCCATGGGAGGGAGAGAGAGAGAGAGAGAGAGAGAAAAAAAAAAATATTTATATAGAAAAATAATAATAATTATATATATTTTAAAAAAAAAAAAAAAAAAAAAAAAAAAAAAAAAAAAAAAAAAAAAAAAAAAAAAAAAAAAAAAAAAACGAGGACTCCCCGTGCCCACATGCAGCCGCGGGCAGCAGGGCCCCGCGGAGGCGTGCGGCAGGCGCGCGCGGGCGCACGGCGCGCGCGGCCGCCATCGCCGCCGGAGGTCGGCGCGCACCGGGCGCGCGCAGCCGGCGCTCGGGGCGGCGGGCTCGTAAAGACTGCGGGAAGGCTGGCAGCGTGCAGCTGTACTGGTCGACGTCGTCATCGTCGTCGTCATCGCCAGGGCTCGCGCTGTAGACCTCCAGCGGACTGATTCTGCTCAGTCCTTGCGGTTCGTCGACTTCGGAATCCAAGGGCCACTTTCGGGCGCCAGGACCATCAGCAGAAATGGAACCTGGGATCAAAAATTGTCCACTTGAAAGGGGTCGAGGCCTCTCGCGCACGCGAACAAACTCGGCCGTTTGCTGTCCAAGGCACCGTCAAAAGACGACAACTGGTGCAAACTGGCTACCCGAGTCGCGCAAGTATCACGACGCGGCAGGTCGGGGCATGCCTATGATCGATGGCGGTGCAGCGATGAGCTGAGGTAAGGAGAGAGTAAGGAATTCGCCGGCCCACCGGGCCAGAGGCGTGCTTATTTCTAAATCGCGCGCGCAGGGCGGCCCCTGGGGGTCCCCCAGCGAAAATTACCCCGACCGCCGCCCGGGCGCAGCCTGGCCACGCTTTACTCAGACATGGTTTTCCTCCTGGGCGCGGTCTCTGAGGCCCCCAAGATCGCGCCAAGAGGGCCCAAGAGGCCCCCAAGACAGCGCAAAAGCGATCCGAGTCACCGAACGAGCGGTCCAAGACGCCCAAGATGGCCTTCACACGGCCCTCGAGGCCGCCGAGAAGCCCCAAGAGAGCCTCAAGAGGCTCTCCAAGTGGGCTCCAACAAGCAAAAATCGCCCCATTCCCTAGGGAAAAACGTACATGTTTCGCATATACGACGTCTGGGGTTCACAGCGTCAAAACGTGCCCAAGAGGCCCCAAGATCGCCCCAAGACGACACAACAAGTCACTAAGAGAAGCCCAAGAGGGCCCAAGAGGGCCCCAAGACAGTCCCAGAGACCTCCGAGATGGCCCAAGACGCCTCCAAGACGGCCAGGAGGGCCCCAAGAGGCCCCCAAGACAGCGCTTCGAGTCACCGAACGAGCGGTCCAAGACGCCCAAGATGGTCTTCATACGGCCCTCGAGGCCGCCGAGAAGCCCCAAGAGAGCCTCAAGAGGCTCTCCAAGTGGGCTCCAACAAGCAAAAATCGTCCCATTCCCATGGGAAAACGTACATGTTTCGCATACACGACGTCTGGGGTTCACAGCGTCCAAACGTGCCCAAGAGGCCCCCAAGATCGCCCCAAGACGGCCCAACAAGCCATCAAGATAAGCCCAACAGGGCCCAAGAGGGCCTCAAGATAGCCCCAGAAACCTCCAAGATGGCCCAAGACGCCTCTAAGACGGCCAAGAGGACCCCAAGAGGCCCCCAAGACAGCCCAAAAGTGCTCCGAATCACCGAACGAGCGGCCCATGACGCCCAAGATGGCCTTCATACGGCCCTCGAGGCCGCCGAGAAGCCCCAAGAGAGCCTCAAGAGGCTCTCCAAGAGGGCTCCAAGAGCAAAAATCGCCCCATTCCCTAGGGAAAACGTACACTGTTCGCATATACGACGTCTGGAGTTCACAGCGTCCAAACGTGCCCAAGACGACACAACAAGTCACCAAGAGAAGCCCAAGAGGGCCCAAGAGGGCCCCAAGACAGTCCCAGAGACCTCCGAGATGGCCCAAGACGCCTCCAAGACGGCCAGGAGGGCCCCAAGAGGCCCCCAAGACAGCGCTTCGAGTCACCGAACGAGCGGTCCAAGACGCCCAAGATGGTCTTCATACGGCCCTCGAGGCCGCCGAGAAGCCCCAAGAGAGCCTCAAGAGGCTCTCCAAGAGGGCTCCAACAAGCAAAATTCCCTTTGCGAAAAACGTACACTGTTCGCATATACGACGTCTGGAGTTCACAGCGTCCAAACGTGCCCAAGAGGCCCCGAGATCGTCCCAAGACGACACAACAAGCCACCAAGAGAAGCCCAAGAGGGCCCACGAGGGCCCCAAGACAGTCCCAGAGACCTCCAAAATGGCCCAAGACGCCTCCAAGACGGCTCTACAAGCGAG